TTCCTGAGGGGCAGGGGTGCCGTGGAGGAGGATGGCTGGCCTGTGGGCTGTGTGGTGACCTTGGGCTGGGGCCTTCTGGTGCCTGGTGGGCTGGAGCTGTGGGGCGGCGCTGGGAAGGCTCATCCCCCGCACTATCGAGGGCTGCTGGCCTCCTCCTGTGTTGTTTTCAAGTATCTCAATTGTCCCATAGCTAAAGGAGGCTCAGCCTTGCACCTTCTGCCCCAGCACAGCAGCCTATTGCCTAGTGTGGAGCTCCTAATAACTCTCTTTGTCTCTCTGTCATCTTTCCAGCTGCAGGAGTCTTCACTATAGCCCACGTTACCATGGCCACCCACTTCTCTAAGGAGCAGGAGGAGAGAGTGCGTAGAAAATGGGTGGTGTGGGTTATGTGCTGTGATGCGTGTCTGTAGAGAGCCCTTCCTGTCCCCCTGATAAGGTGGCAGCTGGCTGTGGCCTGTGGCTTTGTGCAGGAAAGCAGCTGATACTGCTCAATTTCTCGTGCTTGTGTCAGTGATGCAGATATTGTACAACAGCACAGAGCTCACCTGCTTAACCGACTACCTGGGGTTATCCAGCACTGACACCGTGACAGTGCACTGAAGATGTGCACTAACCCAGTTGTACTTTCCATTACACGGTTTTCCTTTTTAAGCATTGATTTTTGTCCAATTAACTGACGAGCTGGAGCGTGATGCTCATAACTGATGATGTAGGAATGATCTTTAGCTGCATGTTGGGTTTGTAATTCATACCAACTCGCTTGCACACTGCATCTTGATCTCCCTGCCTGGGCTGTACCTGCTTGCCAGATTTCCCATTGCCTAAATATCTGTTACCTGAGTCTGCACTGCGACCTTATTTTCATTTCCCCTTCTCTTTGTGTTGTTTTCCAGATCAAATGTGTTAAGGGTGACCTGTTCTCATGCCCCCAAACAGACTCCCTGGCTCATTGCATCAGCGAGGACTGTCGCATGGGTGCAGGCATAGCTGTTCTCTTTAAGAAAAAGTTTGGAGGCGTACAAGAGCTGTTGGATCAACGTGAGTGATACACATGGGGTGGACATGCAGGAGCTGAAGGGAAAAACCTTGTTCTCCAGCAGTTAAGGGTATTCTAAGCTACTTAAGGTGCAGGGGGATTTATGTAGTGGAGTGTAACTGTTTTAAAAATACCTTCTTAATGTCTTTACTTTAGAAAAGAAGACTGGGGAGGTGGCAGTTCTGCAAAGAGATGAGCGATACATTTACTACCTGGTAAGAGTGGGACATGACTCAGGCACTTTCCTGTTACCAAACTATATTAGATATGCTGCTGAGGGCTTTACTAGTTGTGGGTTTTTTTTGAGTATGTTCTTCTAAATGAGAAGTGTGAGATGTATCACTCAAATGTTGCTAGTTGAGGAGGAGCCAAGCTGTCTTGTGTACCTGCATTTAAACTTTAAATGAACAGAATTAGTTGCTAAATTCTACTGTTTTAAGCTGTGAAACCTGGTTCTTTTTCCAAGTCTTTTTCTCTTCATAGCAGCAAGTCTGGGTGTAGAGTTTCAGTGTGTAGTGGAGTGTGCTTTTTAAAAGATAAATTAATTTGCCATGATCATGCTAAAGGCACAACTGACCTTTTACATTTACACTTAGATCACGAAGAAGAGAGTTTCTCACAAACCAACGTATGAGACTATGAGGAAGAGCTTAGAAGCCATGAAAGCTCACTGTCTAAACAATGGAGTGACTGATATTTCCATGCCTAGGTAAGAAAATTAGTTACTGCAGTGTAAATACTTCAGTGTTTATTACATGGAAGGATGTTTTGAGAGATAATCCATTGCTGTGAAATAAGAATTCAAGTATCCACTTCTGTTCAACTCTGCTGTTCAGTTGTGCAAATGAAATTGGTGTTTCCCAGTGCATTTAATGACAGCAAAACATACAGGCTTGGTTGTTTCCTAATTTTAACTGCATTGTGTTGATTTATGGTGAGCTGAGTTAGCACCACATAAAATTGTAGCTGCTTGAAGGGCTGATTGTTCCTAGTGTGCTCCAAATGGGACTGTTACATTTCTTTTGATGTTTTCTTTTCCAGGATTGGATGTGGACTCGATGGCCTGGATTGGAATAAAGTTTCAGCAATACTTGGGGAAGTGTTTGAAGACACAGATATAAAGATCACAGTTTACACTCTGTGAGCAAAAGAGTTTAAAGAGAGTCCCCTTTCCCTTGCTTTCAGGAGTGGAAACCTGTTAACTGATGAGGGGGGAAACTGCATGCTGAGCACATTGTTCCTCTGAGCGTAGCTCACTCTTTGTCTTGTCAACAACAACAACCACAAAAAAAAGCTCCAGAGCAGCTAATTTGGGATGTGGTGTTCAGGGAGCCTGTGAAGAAGGCAGGGGTGTTGTGGTAATAACCCTCTGGTAGTTCCCAGTCTGTCCCAGCACACCACCAGATGTCACTGGTCTTCCATGGAGTACCTGCCTGCGCTGGAGCTTCTACTTCAAGCTGACAGTTCCTGTGCAGACTGAAATTGGAGCTGTCTGTTGCTTAGGTGTTAGTTGGTTTGTAGTTATGCTTGATAATGATGAGTCGTGGAGCCCTGTCACTTTGGTTTGTTTAAAGCTTTTCAATGTTTATATCTGGCATACAATCCACTTAATCAGTTCATTACAGGATTACAAATTTAATTTCTACTTTCTGTCCACAAATACAGGGGTTTTTTGTTAGGAGATTGTACTCGCTAAGAATCAAGCAGTCAACATTAAATAAATAGCTCTTGAGTAGTCTGCTGTCAGATTAGAGCACTGTCCTTTTGAAAAACATTCTTATGTCTGTCTGTTGTGGCTGTTTTCTAGAGGAAAGTGGGGTGCTGAAATTATCTAGAGGAAGGGGAATGCTGAAGATGTGTAAAGGGACCTCGTTGGGTGCATTTTCTACCCTGTAATTGGTAATATTCTGCAGAACTCAGTTTTCTGAAAGCCCACACGTGTGAATGACTGATGTGCTGTAAAAAATGATAGTGTGGAGTTTAAGGTTTGTCCTTCACATTTATTTTTGAACTGCATTTGTAGTTCAGCTCTTACATGTAGACGGGTGTTTGTCACCAATAGCAAAAGCAAATCAGCAACACACTCAGTTCATCAGATCGTGGGTAAACACTTCATTTTTTGAAATACTGAAGAACTGTGGTGTAATTTACATTTCCTTTATGTTTGCTTTGTCCCACTGTCCCATAGTAACAAATCTTTTTGACTTCTCTCATACTGAATGCTCAGAAAAATGCCAGAAATGTTGAATAAACCTCAAAGGTGGGACATAGCAGTTAAGTTTGCAGCATGACATAGGATTCCTGATCTGTTTTCCCCATGAACTGAATGGGCAGAGTGTTTTCTATTCTTAGCACTGTGGGTTAATCTGTGTTGTCTGGTTTCTTTGCTGATGCAGATCTGCAAATCCTGTGGGTGTGTTTTTTAGGAGCTTCATATTGTTACTCTCCTTATTTGTTGTCCATTCTTTAGAAACTTGTTTTTGGTGGATAATTGCTGTAGCTAAATACACAACTGGGAAAAAAAAATAAACTCAGTAAGACAAATAGGAACAAATAAGAATATTTGGAGTATTGAGCTGATCAAGAGTGGCCATTGAGACTGTTCATTGATTTAGTGCTTATGTATGTTTGTTTTTTACATCTAGTGGCAAAGAGATTAAATCCACAGTGGTTCCACAAAGGTGTTTGTGTTGCCACTTGTTTTTTCTGCCTTGAAAATTTACGCCAGAACTTAGTGCACTTGTCTGAGGTAAGAGATGAGTACGGTCAGCAGTGTCTGTGTGTGTGTGTCCAGCACCATTCCAGCTTGTGACAGTGCAGGAGAAACCAACGTGAACTGATGGGAAGAACAAACCTGATCTGATTCAGTTTCTTAGCTGGTGAGCATCCCTGTGAGCCTTGTTTGGTCTGTGCCTTGTTTTACATGGAAAGTGATATTCTCTCTCTCTCTCTCTCTCTCTCTCTCTCTCTCTCTGTCTCCCACACTTGTATGTACTCCTGAAATTTTTCTGGCGTGTAGTAATTCTCCCTTCTCATCATGCTGCGCTTCAGCTATGAAATATTTCATATGTGGCTGTCCCAGGATGTCTCACTTGTCAGATTAAATTTAGGACCTCTTGGAAATAGAGAAGAAGGAATAAACAGTGCTGTAGCTTTTGCAGTGACTGCCAATTTTATTTCACTTTGCTTTTCCCAGTTTTTTTATTACAAACATCATTGGACAAGGGGAGAAAGTATTTGATGCATTTGAAATCAAGTACTTAAGGCTCTGTTGTAATTTAGAATAGACCAGTTAGCCCTAATTGAAATCACAGCTCTGATTATTGAGGAGAACAGAGGGAGAAAACCTTTTTTTTTTTCATCTTGAATCCCTTTCTTTTTTAGCATTCATGAAGTATGTAGTTTCTAAATGTGTTTATCTAATTGGCAGCTTTGTTCTAAGATCTTATCTCATAAAGTAGCCCCAGATTTGAGACCTACAGTCTTTCCTGTAGGTCCACTGCAATCCATTTCATTCAAGGATTTAACCACACAGTATTATTTTCTCTTTTCCTATCTGCATAGGCAGCACAGGTTTGTTTGGGGCAGGGAAGGAAGGAACAAAATAAACCAAAAACATCCCAAACACCAAAGATATGTGTTGTATATCTATTTGTAGTCCATCAGGGCCTGGTCTTCCAGAAGCTTGTACTCCATCCTGCTGGAATCAAAAGCTTTGCAAAGTGGGAGTGTCCCAGATTTCTTAAGTCTGTGGCATCTCTCTTCATAGATCTTTTCTGAATTGGTCCTGGGGAAGGAGAGAGAGAGATGTGTTAGAAGCTTCAAATGCTTTCATGTTTTCTGGCTTAAAAAGGTGACTCTTTAGTACCCTTAAAAAAAAAAAAGATAATTCTGCAATAACTGTGATTTCCTTTAGCAGTTGGGGGTTTTTTGTTTGTTTTTCTAGAAGGTTAGAGTTTGGGAAATCTGCTTTTCTCTACATTCCTCTCACTATTTCCACGTGTCCTGAATATCCTGCATGTGGGGAACAATGAGGTATTGTTGTTGTATCTAGTGACCCTAGTTACCTTTTTCATAGAATCATAGAATGGTTTGGGTTGGAAGGGACCTTAAAGCTCATCCAGTTCCAACCCCCCTGCCAGCAGCAGGGACACCTTCCACTAGACCAGGTTGCTCAAAGCCTCATCCAGCCTGGCCTTCAACACTTCCAGGGAGGGGGCATATTCCTGGATGTGTTAACTCCAAGGAAGAGGTGGGGGGGGAAGCTCTGAGTCCCTTACATGTCTGCTGTGGAGGAGCCCACTGTAGCCCCTTACCCTTGAAAAGTAAGTTACTGCCTAAGTTTACTTTGAAAATTCATGGAGAGGCAAACCCAGCCAGGTACATATGAGAGTAACAGGACCTGAAATTGGCTCTGGGTTACACATTTAACAACCTGAAATAAGAGGAGTCTGTAATACTAATAAAAGGAGATAGGTGACCAAGCACAAATCCTCACTCACGTGAGCTTCAGTGCAAAATCTCAGCCAACTTTTCCTCGTAATACTGGAAGTTCTCTTGAATGTCCTCCCATGGCACGAAAGACTTCGCTTCCTCTCCTTCCTCCTGTTCCACAAAGTGCTGCCAGACATACTCAAAGTCTTGAGGCTTCATAATCCTCAGCTTGCAGCCAGCTGACTTCATCTTTTTCAGGGCAGCCTGCATTTCTGGCTCTTCCCACATGAAAAGACGCCCTACCATGATTGTCAGACGCAGGTTCTTGTTCTTCTTTAAGGTCTCGGTTATCCGGTCAGCGCAGGTCACGCACGGACTGGAGGAGACGTACCAGGTGACGTTATAGCGGAGGCTCGATTCACACTTGGGTAAAATCGTGTTGAAGAAAGCCATTTCTGCATGGGCAGCTGCGTGTTCATCTTCCAGGTAACCCCGAGAAGTCACTGACTCTTTGCCTTGGGTCTCAAGAACGTAACACAGGAAGGTTTTGTTCCTGCCTGAGCTGTATTCCACGTTCCTGAACTGGAATTTGAAAAATATGGCTGGGAGGCGCTCCCTATAAAAAATGGAGAGGAGAAAAGCGTCTCAGAGGCAGATAATGAAGGGTTTTAACATTGGTTTAGTTCCAATAAGTTGCTGCATCTCTCATGGCTGTATTTCCCCATGTATTAAAAGGAATTTTCTTTTAATAGGAGGATAAAAATACATTAAAAATTCCAAGATACTCAGTGTTTCTGTGGGATGAGGCTTATGGGCTTGTTCTCACTACCCAGTCTTTTTCACTTAATTTTAACAGACTTGTACTGGGAATTTCTGGTATCTGTACTGAGGTATTTGAAGAGGAACTTGCTTCTGAAATGTGTTTCTTGAGACCATGATATTTACTGTTGGTGAGGAGGGACAGCAATTGCCATTTTCCCAGTCTTAATGCTAAAGACCTGTAGACTGAGCTGTTCTTACACTGTTTTCTAGGCTGTTAATATAGTTCTTTCATGGTGGCATTGCAATATTAATCTGTTGTCCTAAATTGTTAGGATGATAACTGGCATTACTAATTAATGTTTTACCCACAGTGCTTTTGCAGTGTGGATTTCCTCTTGAGTAGAGACAAGCCTGTCTGACTAGTTGCAGTTTTTACATGTTCTAGTTTTATTCCTCCAGTATCAGTTGAATACTAATATTCAGTAGGATTATGTTGCGACTTTGGCTTAATAAAATATCTGAGTTCAAATCTACCTTGCTATGAAAAAGTGTATTTGCCACTGAAATTTGATAGCTCAGGGATGCTGCTGATAAACTTCAGATACTTTATAAAATCTGTTGTGCACCTCTTCTAGTCTGGGTTTCTAAATGTGCATAATCCCAAGTGAATCATTGCAGTGAGTAATGTGTTTGCAGTCCTCTAGCACCCAAACAAGGTAGTCTGCTGTTATTTAGGGAAGTTAAAATCAGTCCCTTAAAATACTGCGTGTAGCTTTTATGCACTGCTGACTGAAGAGGTGACAAAGGAAAGCTGCATCGTCTCCCAGTACCTGCTCCTTTCTAGTGGAGTACCAGGCTTTCCTTACTTTACTTTCCCTTTACTTTTTCCCCCTGTAGCATCTAACTATGGAGTTACATCAGCACAAGAACTCGTACTTGAAGGATGTT